GTGCGCCCGGGCGATCCCCGCATCGGCGGCCGCCTGTGCTGGCGCTGCGGCGGGAGCGGGACCACGGCGTTCCTGCTGTTCGACGAGATGCCGTGCAATGTCTGCGACGGCGTTGGACGGACGTTTTAGTAGTGCGCGTGGACAGTCCTGCCCGGGCGGCCGAAGCTGCATTCGCCGCGTGGGCACATGTGTACGTATATGTATCTATGGGTGTTATATTGTTCGTGATCTCTGTACCGCGTATCTAATGTGTATATCGCGTTGGGACGGTGTCTTTGCGGTTGTATAAAATGCGCACTGGGCCGGGTTTCGACATGGAGGATACACGGATCCGGTGTTGCCGAGTGCGACGCGGACTTGTCGGCAGCGTGAAGGACGGGTAGGCAGCACTGCCAGCAGCACGAGAGCCAAACCCCGCGAAAACGACGAGAGTGGGCGGTCCGAGGCGACCCTGCATCGGCCTAGATGCCTGTATCGAGATGTATCTGGTGACGCAGCTTGGAGGGCCTCCCTAGGCGAGGCACCGTCATTATTTAATAATTCACGTAAGACTTTATTCCGTCTTCACAAATAGCCTATGCAGGACCGCAGTACTAAACCGGGATCATGGGCACTTCGTTGTCGCGACCTCGCGCCGGTACCGCTCAGGTACACCTCTGCTGCAAGAAATGTAACGGCCCCTGGACCGATCTCTGAGAGCCCAGGGCCATCGCACAGCTTGGACAGTGTGCTAGAATCCATCGTCGGAGAACCGGCACAGCAGTAGAACAGCAGCACCTCCGTCAATGCGCACACGACCGTCCAGGGCGCTATCCAACTTGTCCGCTTCAGAATCATCCGTTCAATGTCCAGCAAGCACACCACAAGTCCGACCGAGTCTCGGAGATGTGCACAGGCACGCGGAATCCCAGAACGTCTTTAGCGCGATACGAATAACATAACATACACATCGGAACTTCGTCAACGACACAATCGAGATTCGAGACTAAGCATGTCCGTCCATGGATCAGGCATGGCTCTAATTTTACGCCAGCGGCCCACCGCAGGCACGGCGTCACCACGCATGGCATAACCAACAATGTCCTGGTGCCGCGTCTGCGGATTCTGCACACCGCGGCGCTGGGCTCGGCGCCCCGCGCCCCCCTTCGACCCTCGCCACCGATCTGGCTGCGTGTGCGCCCGTCAAGTGGCGACCTTGTCCACGGAGACGCCCCGCCGCACCTCTGCGATCCCAGGCGCGCGGTCCGCGCTGCGCCCGCGCCCGCGCACGTCGCCAAAGTCAACGCCAGGTACGCCTGGACCCACGCCGACGCCCGGCGCGGGCTCCTCTTCCCGGGGGCGCTTCTGCCCCAGTGCCGGGGACGCGCTGGACGAGTGCGAGGGCGGCAGCGCGTAGCTGGCCATGGACCGCGTGCTGCTGATGCTGTTCGACGCGGGCCGCGTGTGCGTCGGGAAGAGGCTCGCACCCGGGCCAGGGTTGTTCTGCGAAGGGCCTCCGGAGAGGAAGTCGAACCAATTTCCGTCCGGGTTGTTCTGCGATGAATTGCCTGTGGTGCATCATGGGAACGGGTACCACATGGTCATGAAGAGGCCATGACGTGAACGATGGAATGCAATACGTCAGTCAATGCGGCATCCCGCGGGAATGATGAACACGCACCGTCGCCTTGCTGTGGATGCTGCGAATGCACGGGCCAGTCGAATGGCTGGAACTGCTGCGATGGATGCCCACTGCCCTGGTCACCCAAAAGCTCCACGGCCATCCCAGCGGCGCCAGTATTCTGCACCTGTTGCGGCGGTGCCCGATGCGGTATATATACACTTTGCAGGGGAAGCGACTGCTGCTGCGATGCATATGGTGACGACGAGTGCGACTGGAAAGGCACTGTGCGGAGTGAAGGATGGTGAGGATGGTGCGTCTGATGCGAGAGGTCAAACGGCGAATGTGAGACCTGCGGAAGGAAGCCGGGCGGAGCACTTTGATGAGTGAGCAAGCTCGGCATACTGCCCCCGCTCCCGCTGTAGATGGTGCTTTGCAGAGATGGATGAGCGACGCTATGTGAAGGAGGAATGGAGGAGAGTGGGGTGATGTGGCTCTGCACCGGGTATTGGCTCATGTCCACCTCGAGTCGGTAGGGGTACGAAGGCGGGTTCGCCCCTAGAGCGGCGATGTTGAGGCTTTGAGGGATGGCAGGGATGCTGTGGACAGGATGGGGGTCGTCGGCGAGTCGTGGACGCTTGGCAGCGACTGTTGGTCCCCGCGGGGTGGACGATGGTGCCGATGCACCATGTCGCTCGCCAGATATAGGGAGGGCAGTGGCCGGGTTGTTCGAGGGGGACCGTACGGCGCGATAAGACTCTAGCTGGGGGAAGGTCAGTGTTGGCTGCAGCAATGATAGTAGAGACGGGGACTGACGTCTATCGACATCGACGCATCGTTACTGGACTGCGGTGCTGGGCGAATGCTACCACTGGTGCTCTCCGTCTTTATCTTGCCCTGTTTGGAAGGGATAGAGTCACGACGAGCCTTGGGTACACGGTTGGTGTCGTCGTCGTCGGCATCGTCGTCATCGTCCGCGGCCTCTTCGGTTTTGTTGTTGCTGAAGTCATGGGGTGTGCGGGTGTCTTTCTCACCGTCGAACTGGGGTGCGATGATGGCTGAGCGATGGGAGGAGAGAGCGACACGACGAGCGACGTACCCTGATATGACGCTGGACCATGCTGTGGACGTCGGTGGAACAGTACTGGTAGAGCTTGACATGGTGGCCTGGGCGTTCCTCTGAGGGAGACAAAAAGGATAAGCGGTTGTGATGAGGAGGGCGGGGACGGGGACAAGCGCACCAAAGATGATGACGGCGACGTCGACGGAGCAGAGGACGCCGAGCTCGTATGCTTTCTTGAAGAGGCCGTTCTTGCGCTGTGGGAGGCAATCACCGAGTTAGTCAACACGAGCGAATGCCAAGAGAATGGGTCAAAAATAGAGGCCGACCTTCAAAAAGGTCACAGAGCGGTTGCGTTCGTGCTATAGATGGGCAAGGAAGTGCGTAAGCGAGCTGGATATAGCACAGCATGCAAGGGCGGGGCCACCGCGCGTGGAGCTGGGGGACGAGGAGGAGGAGGAGGAGGAGGGGGCGCGCTGGCAGCCGGGACGCACCGTGATGGGCTGGATTTCAATCTTTCGGCGGCCCATGGTGGTGCGGCGGGGAGGAGGGGCGGGAGGGG